TGCAGTATTTTTCCACTTGAGCTGAGAGAGAGAGAGAGAGAGAGAGAGAGAGAGAGAGAGAGAGAGAGAGAGAGAGAGAGAGAGAGAGAGAGAGAGAGAGAGAGAGAGAGAGAGAGAGAGAGAGAGAGAGAGAGAGAGAGAGAGAGAGAGAGAGAGAGAGAGATACACACACAGATACATACACACACACACACACACACACACACACACACACACACCTTCCTTCCTCCCTTCGCCTACTGCTACGATTGGCTATGTGCCGTCTTCGGGACGTAGCATGAGGCCCTGCGAGTCCGGCGGGACGTGAACGGCTGTTTCACTGTTTGTTTTTTTGCTTTTGCAGAGCGACGGGAGGTGCAACTATGTCTAGCGATGTCTTGAGGACGGCTAAAACGGCGTGTGCGGACCATACACAGGAGTGGTTTCATGGCAGGTTGTACACGAGAGCATACAACGCTGTAGACTCCATCCTGACACCTGGTTCTCCACTCAGACCTAGCATCTGCTGGGTCAAGCCACTCATTCATGCCAATGGACACCGCCGCCAGGTCATGTTTGACTGGGTCTTTCCCGCCATATGGAGGTCGTTTAGACGGCCAGGCACCAAAGAGCAACTGGCGGGGAATACGGTCATCCATGCGAGCCAGGTGGGCCAGCCATTGGAGACGACAGCGCCGGACCTTGTCAGAGACCTGCTCCATGTCTCTCCACCACTGCCGTACCTGAAGGGTTGTCACGTGCTCGTCCATCTGGCGCGGCCAACTGATGCCCAGGACCATGCGTATAGATCGCAGGTGAAACGACTCCAGACGCTGGAGATCCCGTTGCCTCGGTGTCCAGTTCTCAACACCATAGAGGAGTACTGCCAACACAATGACTCCGTACACAACACGCTTGAGACCGATAGGAAACTCGGAGTTCGCAAACACAGCCTTCTCCAGGGCGCCAAATGCACCCGAAGCTGCGGCGATCCTGCGAGAGACATCAAAGCTACTCCTAGCATCAGGAGTGATCTGGCAGCCAAGTTAGCGAAAGCTGTCCACGCATTCGACGGTTCCACCCAAAGGCAACATATCCGACGCCACCACACCAACGCCCATAGGCATGAACTTAGTTTTGCCCAGATTGACTGACAGGCCAAAAGATGCTGCAACCTCCTGAAACGTGGCCAAGGACCTTTCAGCACCGCCGTAGGTTTTGGCGAACAGCGACGAATCGTCCGCAAACTGACACTCCGTTATAGTCACTCTGCGACACTCTCTGAGGCGCGTATTGAACAAGCAGTCTCTGCGGAACACACACACACACACACACACACACATGTAACACACATACACACACACACACACACACATGTAACACACAAACACACACACACGTACACCCACCTGTACAGTTCATGCCAGTGACAGTACCACTGTAACCTGGCAGACAGGAACATTTGAAACTTCCAGCTGTGTTCTCACACCCAGCCCGGCTAGGACAAGGGTTAGCATCACATTCATTAATGTCATCTGGGACAAAAATACATTAGAGGCAATGGCAAAAACGAAATGTCATGCCTCAGACCCTATTGCCTACATTTGCAAAGCACCTGACAAAGGAAGTCCTAGAGCATCTCTCACTAACGGAAATGATGAGATTAACGTTCGGGCAATCTACTTCACCATTACATGAACAAATTGATGTCAAAATGTTGCTGATCAAAAGGCTAGAAAATGTACAGCCGCTAACATCTGCACTGATCACACCACCACACTACATATTGCATAGGCGGACAATTTCGTCGCTCAATTATTTCGGCCAACTCCAAAGAAAGGGAGTTCGTCCGGTTGTAAATTTCGTCCATGGATCATAAGAGTGTATTGAAAAGCTGGACAAATCGGCATTAGTCCGGCATCATTAATTTAGTCCAAAAAGCTCCTTGGACGAAAAAGACGAAATTAAATTCCAGACGAATATTTCTGCTTAAATATACAGTACACGTACCGCAGTTGTGTCCCTGGAAACCAGGTTTACAAGGGCATGTATAACTGCCTGCGGTGTTTGTGCACTTAGCGTTCTGGAGAGCGCACGGAGACTGTGACGGGTGAACCTCACATTCGTCGATATCTGCGTGAACACACACACACACACACACACACACACACACACACAAACACATGCACGCACACACACTCACATGCACACACGTCAACATGCACATACGCCCACATGCACACCCACGCACGAATGCCCAGAGAAAGAAGGAACACACATCTTTATCGTTTACACTTTATGAGGCATCAGCAGCAAGAACCGGGGTCCTGGCGATTTTTCAAAGACGCCAATATTGGCGAAAAACCGAACCGATGCCGTGTTTTAGTCACCGCGATTTCTTGCGCCATCGCTTTGAAAGGGCTTTCTTCTTGGTGGCTTCACTATAATTTGTCGTCGGTGCCATTGTAGTTTATCAGCCAAGCACTTGGGACGTCCAGGTAGACGTTTTCAGCCGCCGTTGAGGCGTTTACGCTCTGGGTAGCGCCTGCAAAATCATGGGCTCGAAAGAGAGCAAAACGAATAGTTTCTTGGCGGAACGATCACGTCACAAATTCTTGATGGAGCACGAGCGACTAGAATATTTGGCGGCTGGATCTCCAGAGATACTCCCCTGCCTGCCATAGTCCACAGCATTGTGGTAAGAAGAATCGGGTGAAAGTGACGAAGTTTCGCTCAGATGAAAAGCCATCAGCAGCGACAGCGTAGACGATGAGTTTGAGAGTTCCGTGACACGAAGCGCCGATGTGGACAGCAGCGCTGAGAGTGCAGAATGAGATTCAGTACTCGGTGGCAACGAAGTTATTCGCAGCTGGATGAATTGGTGAGATACGGAGACAGCCCTAAATGAAATAAACCTTACTGGACACAAGATGTTTTGTGAACAAAATTGTTGCAAGCATACATGTGAAGTAGCTGGCCCTCGGAGACAATTACACACACTCAAATAAAGCACTCACTTTGTGGTTTTTACGAATAATCGTAAGGACGGAATACTAGTTGCACACTCGGCAAGTAAAGATAAGAAGTGAAAGAGCACAAGAAAAGAACAATGCAAGAAAACAAAACACACGGCGAGCGGCAGCCATGTTTTCTGTCAGTGACCATTGAGCACTCTACAATAACCGGTTACCGACAATATTGAGAACATTCTGGAATATTAGACTAAGCGGCCAATCACAGTTCGCCAAAGAGAGTCACATGGGTAAAGTGGAGGAATACGGGTTTTACCTATACACAACTCATGAGTGACCCACGGAAAGATACAAAAACATGCAAGGAGAGAAAATGTAACTTCTGTCAATCCTGGGGTTTGAACCTAGGAATCAATGTCCTCCGTTCTATCAAATAATGCAACTCCTACACATGCTTGCTGTGCACATGAAATCTGTCACAGTATCCTGCTAGTGTTTACGAGCTGCTGTGCGTAGGAGAGCAATTCATGCTTGGTGGATGTACCAGGCTTGGCCCAGCAGGCATATCTCGTATTGTAAGTTCTTCCCAGCCATGGGAAACGTCAGTCGCTTGGCTTCTTTCCCGGTCTGACAAGTCTGCGTCTCAACACCAGACCTGCATATGACAGGGATTGAGTTTTCAAGTTCATAGCAGCAAGTGCAGGAAACACTGTTACCCTATTATTAACTCTAGTGCTCTGTGTTGCCTTGAACACCTTATAAAAAATTAAGTAATAATAGTAGAGTCAAATCTGTCGTAAGCGACCGCCCCTTGGTGCAAGAAAAAGCGGTCTCTTACGGCAGATGGTCTCTTACGGCAGATGTATGGTAAATCCGGTATACCGGGCATGCATGCTTCCATGTACTCAAATCGACGAGAATAATGTGATTTTTATGTGTGGGTGTATGTTTGTGTAGTGGTGTGGGCATGTGTGGATTTGGCATTTGTCCCCAGCTCTATTCTATATCATTCAGACCTACAGCTGCATAGCCCCAAGTCTGAAGACTTGGCAACTTCACGCCTGCACCTGACTCTTGCGCTATGATACGCGTCGCCTATGACACCCCTCGGAATTTCCCAAATTGCTCCCCCTTATGTTCTGGCTGCCCGTTTTGGATCCATCAGTTGCCTGATGATCGTAGAGATACGTGAAACTCGGAGTTGTGACAAAGCTTCCAAACTCTCTCTCTTGTGTGATTTTTAATATCATTTTATTGGATATTCAATAGAATATAGGGGTGCCAGGGCCAGTCGATCGCACTTGCAAGACAGCGCATTTTCACACCTTGCAGTTGACAGCGCACTGGCAAGTACTTGTACAGTTTTGCACCTGACTGAACGTGGGTCGCGGTCGCTTACAGCAGATTTGAATGCAGCCACCGTGCATGAAATCGCGGTCGCTGGTCGCGCGCAGCAGATGGTCGCTCTGGACAGATCAATTTGCATGTGAAACCGTCGGTGCACGGAAAGTCGGTCGCTAACTGTAGATGGTCGCCTACAGCAGAGGTCGCTAACGGCAGATTTGACTGTAGCAGCGGTGAGGCTTCCTGCAGCTTCATGCATAGGGAAAAAAAAAAAAAGGTTTCAGAGCGGACTCGCTCTCTTCCCATTCACTCTGCAAACTCAAACTCATTTCTCAATCAACTATTATATGTAACCTTTCTACCGATATCACCTAATGAGTGCCTGAGATGGCATGAAACTTTAAGTTGTGACTGATCAAGCCATCTGTTGTTCTGACTAGTGTAACCTTTTCACCTATAAATATGCTGACTTCTTCTCAACCACTCCATGAGAGCCAACTGTAACTGCGTTCCTTTTCGCCTTTTTGCTGATCATTTGTGTCGACCTTCACCCATGATTTCGGGCGTTCTTTTTACCTTCTCGAAAGCTGCCCAGAGCTCCAAAATTTGGCCCATAGATCACTTATTTAGTGGACAGTTTAAAGCCATCAAAAACTGATTCTCGCCAAATATCACCTAACCCTGGTTTTTGCGGCCCAGGCCACATAAGGGCATGTTCGTTTGGTAGGATCGGGATCCCGATCCACTGGATTCGCACCCTTTCGTTTGGTCGAATCCGGATCCGGATCCTTCGGATTTGGATCCGGTCAACCCACCTCGGGGAGCAGGGTTGACCGGATCCAACGGATCCAAATGTGACCTTTGTGCGTATATGGCGGGTAAAAATCATTTTGTACACATTGTGGTACGCACACGTGGATCGAGATAGAGCTTGCTGACTTTTTATACAACTGGTGCGGTGAGTACGACTTTTTATTACTTCGTCAACATGGCAACGGTCAAGGCTCAAAAAAGTGTCCAGTTGACTCTGAAGGATCCGACGGATCTGAGATCTGGATCCCGATCCCGATCCTTACCAATCGAACATGCCCTAAGTCTAAGTTACTCATTGCTTTGAGAAAAAAGATGCAAATGGTAGTCATAGAAGTTATTTAAATATACATGTTTACGTTGTAGTCTTTTTTCACTTGACACACACACACACACACACACACACACACACACACACACACCTGTCCTGTCCTGTAGAGCCACTGCCACAGGGGTCACGTGGGCCCCGGAGGGGCATCAGAGAGGAAGATGGAGCACGCAGCCTGATGACGCCGGAGATGGTGGGGCAAACGGAACCGGCGAGAACACACGCATACATGGCTGAACGAATTACGCTGCTGGGCAGTCGGGCGCGGGCCAGTCCTCGAGCACCGGTGACGACCGCGGCCTTGCACAGACCGAAAGCAGCGGGCACACACACAGCACAGTGCGCAGCACAGCAGGCATCCTGCACATAGACTTGCCGGGGCTCGGGAGGCCGAGGCTGAGGTGCGAAACAGCGGTGAACAGCTAGACCACCCTTGCTGCGAAACCAACGCCCACAATCTCCACAGTGGCAAGCCCCTCGCTGCTCAGCAATCGGCTTTGCCCGCTCAACCAAACATTTGTGGCGAGCACGATCTCCAGGGCGCGAGAATGACCGATTGCAATCCGCACATACCACTGGGTCAGGCTGAGGCACATTCTCCACAGGCTCGGCGTACATAGTCCGCCAGTCAGCACGGGACTCACAGGCGATAGGGTACCATTCTTTGGTGAGGCCACGAACTCTTAGGTCGGAGACAACGCAATCCTTCCAGCGCTTGCGAGGGCCATGTGCTGGGCGGCGTGTGGGAAGTGAGCCAACAGGATCTGTCTCGGCATCCGGCTACTGTCCATTCGGGCAACATGGCCCAGCCACTCTAGGCGACGCTGTGCGACCTTCACGCAGATGGTATCAGAGTCACCCCACATCTCCAACAGTTGGGCGTTGGTCATGTGATTATTCCAGCAATCTCTGCCGGACACACCCAAGATGGAACGGATGCACCGCATATGAAAGACTGACAAACGTTGGAGATCGTGTTGCAATGGTGTCCAACACTCTGACCCATAGAGGAGGAGCGACAGCACACATGCATTAAACACACACCTCTTGATATGCAAATCAAGGTCAGGATTGCTGAAGATGGTTCCTTGCAAGGCGCCACAAGCACAAGAGGCATGCGCAATCCGAGCAGTGATGTCCTGTGTCGACCGGCCACCGCGATGAATGAGAGATCCCAGATACCGGAACTCCGAAACACACTCGATGACCGTGCCAGCTAGCTCGATTGGAGCGCAGTCCCCAGGCGAAACATCCCTGCCTGCAACCAAGAACTGTGTCTTGGTAGCGCTAACTTTAAGCCCAAACTCAGCTGCGGTCGTGTCAAACACTGCAAGTGCCGTCTCCGCCCCTGCACGAGTCGTCGCGAAAAGTGCTGAGTCGTCTGCAAACTGTGACTCAGTGGCAATGGCAACCGGATCCGTCCGGGTAGGCTTGCGGTAAAGGTTACTGTCACCATCACAATGCCGGAACTCAAAACCAACACCGGGTAAATCTCGGACTCGTCGCTGCCACACAATCACCACCGCCCACATGAAGATGTTAAACAGCACAGGTGCCATGGTGCACCCCTGGCGGAGACCATTCGTGACGCGGATAGGGTCAGTTGTCGTGTTCTCTACCCGAACCACCGCCGACATGTCAGTGTGAAAGGAACGGATCACGGCAAGCATGGGAGCAGGGATACCCGCTCGGGATAAGACTTCCCACAGGCAATCCAGAGGCACGGAATCATAGGCTTTCTTGAGGTCTATAAATACAAAGAAGCCTTTGCAGTCGTGCTCAATGGTCTTCTCAAGGAACTGCCGAACACTGACAACCATATCTGTACAAGATCGGCCACGCCTGAAGCCACACTGAGACTCTGGGAGAAAATCCGCAGCCACGGACTGGAGACGAGTCTGGATGACGCTCGCCAGAACCTTGCCCACAACATCCAGCAGTGAGATACCCCGCCAATTATCACAGCGAGATAAATCCCCTTTCTTTGGGATGGGGACCAACGTGGCGTCCACCCACTCCTGCGGAACCACCCCAGCACGCCACACATCGCCAAACAGCTCCACAAGCTTGGCGGTGAGGTCAGGGCCACCCCTCTTCAGCATCTCAGGGAGGATGCCAGAGGCTCCAGCGGACTTGCCGTTCTGTAGGCGGGAGATAGCGCGGCTGACTTCACGGAGAGTCGGCGCCTCAGCAAGATGATCAGCCTCCTGTCGCTGTGGGATGTCGTCCAGGGCATTGCGATTCCATGCACTTGCCACGTTGAGGACACCGTCAAAGTGTCTTCCCCACCGGTGGCTCTGCTCCTCTGGTGAACTACAGATGTTACCGTTCTCATCCAGCACGGCGGAAGTGCACACAGGGGTGAGGCCCCGGGTACAAGACTGGAGGTCATGGATGCACTTCCATACAACCGCTCCATTGAATCTCGACTCTGTGGCCGCCTGTGCCTTTGCCTTTATCCAGTCTACCCTAGCCGAGGATATGGAAGCACGTGCCCTGGATCTAGCCACCTTAAACGCTGTGTAGTGCGAGCAGTCGCGGCTCTGGCCACTATATAGCCAGTCGGTATAGCACCGATTCCGTTCATCTAGCAATGGCTGGATGGCTGACTCTGCCTCCCGAAACCAGTCTGGTTGGCGACGCCGGGAGAAGCCCAAGACAGACGCAGCAGACTTGTCGATAGCCGCCTTGACGTTGGACCATTTCTGATCTATGCCGTGCTGTTCTTGCCATGAATCTACAAGCTCGGTTGCAATGGTAGCTTGGTACCTTTCTGCAGGCGAAGGTGAGTCCGGGTCCGTAGTGCGCACCCGCAGCTGGGCAACATCATAACGGCGGCGCCGCACATTTGCCTGGTCGCGCTCCCGAACTAATCGTCCACACGGAAGTGCAAAAGTTAAACAGAGGAGTTGGTGGTCACTTCCACACTCAGCACTGCGCGCAACCGCAGTGTCCATGCACCAACGGCGGTCCTCCTGGCGCACTAGAATGTAGTCGATACAGTGCCAGTTCAAAGTGCCTGGGTGCTGCCAAGTCCGCTTGAAGAGGTCTCGCTTGGGGAACCAGGTGTTACAAATACTCAACTGATTGAATGCAGCAAATGATAGCAGGTCAGCTCCTGAAGAGTTCAGTGCACCAAATCCATGCGAACCACGTACAGTGGACCACTCATCACCCTGCTCACTAGATCCAACTCGAGCATTGAAATCGTCAAGCACTACACAATGGTCAGTCTGGGGTACATCGTACAGAGTGCGTTGTAGATCGTCATTAAATAGTTCCTTGCATGCCCGCGACGCAGCAAACGTTGGAGCATAAACGCTGACCAGAGTGAGCCAAACATCCGGTCCATCAGCTGCACAGTACTTCAAACGTACACTCACAATCCGAGAACTCACCGCGTTCCATACGCAGCCGCCAGCCCTCCACGCCGAAGTTGTATCACGATTCAAAACAAGAGCAACTCCCTCACCTCGACGTCGATTATCCTCTTCGCCAGGAGTGGGGCGGCCCGAAGAGATCACAGTAAATCCGTTGACAGCGTAGATATTTTGTCCAAACCAGTGGGTTTCCTGCAGGCTTGCCGCCGCCACTTTCAGCCTTTTCAGTTCAGAAATAACTCGGTGAATTTTTTTGTCTTCCACGACGCGTCCAGAAACACAAGCAGTGTCGATGCCGCCGTCCCGCTCCACCAAGGATCTCACGTTCCATGAGCCCAAACACAGCAGGCAACGTCTCCCTCTCCCTCTCTTCTCTCTGACAGATTTCATCGCGCGATGTTGTGGAAATCCGCTCGGGGGCTTGTCAAACCTCCGCGAGCGGCGACGTCGGGTACAACTAAAAGTGACGGCACCAAATTGCTGTCCCGTCTCTCAGCTGTATGCTTCCCTCCGCCATGCGCTTTCCCTGGCCTAGAGGTGGCCCAAAGAGGGCCGCCTCTAGGCCAGGGTGAAGTTTACAAAGGTCGAGGACTTGCAGTAAGCAGGAGCTCAAAAAAGCACAACCGTCCCCAGTGAACACAGGGACACACACACACACGTACACGCACATGCATGCATGCACACACACACACACACACACACACACACATGCGCGCGCGCGCACACACACACACACACACACACAAGAAGGCACAGGAGGGGAGTGACACGCATACAGATAAAGTGCCAGACAGAGAGGCCATAATAGATAGCTGTGCCGCTCGCGAAACAGGACACGCACAGCTCTGCATCAACCTGACACCACCATCAGGTCTGCACACAGCTACACACAGGCACACAGTGGTTCATGACCAAAACAAGTTGCCGGGCACCTCCAGACGAGGGCAGCACGCGAGCGCATCTTACCATAGCAGCTGGTGGTCCTCCACTCGTAACCCGACACACACGTGCAGTAGAAACCTGCGCCCGCGCTGACGCACTGATCTGCATTACTTCCGCACAACTCGGCCACTGGTCTTTGGAGGCATCTATTAGCTGTGACGTCACAGAGTAGCAGAATAATACAGAGGCAAGCGGACTTAGGTGCTAAGTTGCAGTTCTCCGACAAGTTTGTCAGTGCAGTTCAAAGCTGACTGGAACTCGTTCATGTGTTGATCCCGTATATTCGTATAAAATAAATTAAATATAGAATAAATTCACGGTTCGTGTGAGACTCGGCTGGAGAGAGAGAGAGAGAGAGAGAGAGAGAGAGAGAGAGAGAGAGAGAGAGAGAGAGAGAGAGAGAGAGAGAGAGAGAGAGAGAGAGAGAGAGAGAGAGAGAGAGAGAGAGAGAGAGAGAGAGAGAGAGAGAGAGAGAGAGAGATTAGTGTTTTGGCAATCCACTTCACCATTTCATCGACCAAGGCCGAGACGAAATGATCAATTTTAAAACCGTATGCTGATCGTTAAGGAAGGTATCGAATCTACTATCGATTATCGTTAGCTGCCACTAACAATACATACCACACCATGCACATACAGTCCACTTCGCTAGTAACGACTGCGGATATAACGACAATTCGCGAATAACAACAAAATTTTCATGCCCAGAGCAAAGTCCCATCTAACTGTGACACATATAATGAGACTTTGGGTATAAGGACACTTCGCGAACAAGGACACTTTTCCGATGCCCCGCCGAGTGTCGTTATAAGCGACGTTGACTGTACACATGTTCGAGGTGCTAGAATGCAAGCAACAGCGATATTGATGCTACGTGCACGGCTTACCGGGTTCGGATCGCACTACTCACTGGCATGAGACATGTTCAGCAGGCATCCCCCGGGACCCCGGGAAATTTTTCAAAAAATGAAGCAACGTCCTGCATTTTGAGGGGAAAAAGGGAGGGTTCCGGGCAGCCAGGAACCCATACGGGGCACGCGCCTGTCCAATACTACATTAAAATTATACACAGAGGCAATATGCTTTGGTTCTGCAAGAGTGCTCAATGCCTGATTCAGGCAGAGCGGCGTACACAAGTTGTGTACATTAAAATTATATTATACTGATAGCAGACAGTTTAATAGTGCGCACGCTGGCCTAGCGCGGACCGCTTTCCCGGGCCAGCCGCGCGCGGCTATGGAGAGGTTGTGCCTTTCGTCATGGAAACGCACAGAAATCACCTAGGCGCTGGAACTCTCTTCGCGTTCCCGTAACGTAAAGAAAACCTGTTCTGCTCTACGTCCACGTAGAGAAATCACGCGGAATGTGTACTGGGACTGTCCCCTTCCGTATATGGCAGTTTTCTGCTTGCAGTTGATCGATGCCCCGCAGATCTGTACGCATATTCTCTGCGTGTGCAACAACGTAGAGAACCTCATCTCCGCGTAGGAATCTGGACCCAAAACAAGCGAAGCCGTAGCCTCTAACCCAGACACCTGCTCTCTACGTGATTTCTCTACGTTTCACGTATAGCAGAACCTCCCTTATGACTAATGGTGCCCTGTGGCACGCCACTAGTGATTGCCACCAACGGAGACGTTCCAGTGTGGGTAACCACCCGCTGTAGTCTGCCACAAAGATATACAAGTAATCGGAACCAGGCCAGGGCCGCTCCCGAAATACCGACAGCTGCGAGAGCAAGAAGAAGCTGCTGATGCCTTACCATATCAAACGCTTTTTTCAAATCAATACATACTTCGAAGTACAATCGCCGTGTGCAGTCCAGCGTCGCGCGAGACAAGCCAGTCGTTCATAACCTTGGTGAGAAGCTGTCCGGTAGAACGGTGCTTCCGAAAGCCAAACTGGTCCACATGGAAAGAGCAACGATCATTAAAGAACACGTATATTCGAGAAAACACGAGCCCCTCCAGGAGTTTGGCTAGGATAGACGTTAAAGACACTGGGCGGTAGTTAGAAGAGCAGTCGCGGGGGAGTTGATTTCAGAATCGGTGTGATGTTTGCAATTTAGAACAAGGATGGGAAGTGACCAGACGAGAGGGAAGTGATGAATAAGATAGTGAGTGATAGAGCAATTACGTCTTTTGATATCTTTTTTAAAGTAGACTAGGAAGAATGCCGTCCGGTCCAGGGGCTTTATTATTTTGGAGGTCACCGATCCGAAGCTTCATCTCTGCCACTGTGACGGCTGAAAACGTAGTAAGGTCGTCAGATTTAGCAGGCCCCATTGGGAGCTTGTAATTCGCTTCCTTATCTGTGACAATCGAGTGAAAATAGTCGTTCAATCGCTCAGGTGGGATGGTAACCGTTTGCTTCGGAGGGGAACGCTTTGTGATCATATTCAAAGCTTTCCAGAACTGCCGAGGCTCCCGTTCGTACCGCTGGCACTGGTGTGAAAAGTATAGATTCTGTAGGTGTCGATACAAGTTATTGCACTGGTTGTGCAGCCGCTTGAATTGTACAGATAGGCTATCGTCTCGAAAGTTCGTAGCTTTTAGTTTCTTGAAGACCGATTTACGCTTTCTAATCAAGGCAAGGAGGGGCGTGGTCATGAACGGGCAATTTTTCCGACGGGACTTCCTGTGTTTCCTGGTTACGTGCGGTGCGATGATATCAAGCACAGCATTGACTTTCCCTGTCCACTCGTCCAACATCAGGTCTGGGGTACGGGATGCGAAGATATGAAGATCGGAGGATAGCAGCGTATCGCAGAAACACTGAGTGTTGACGTTCCGGTAGTCTCTGCGTGTTTGACGGGTAGTAGTACTGCTCCGCGCATCCATCATGGGCACTAGGACGGAAGTAATGACGAGGCGATGGCCTGAAAACGAACGTTACTTTATTGGCCAGTCTGCACGGAAGTAGCGGCGTGCCTTTGAGATGGTGGAACGCACTGGACGTCTGACGCAGAGAGTCCATATGTACAGGGGCGTGCTCGGCTCCCCTTCCAGGGGGGTGCACCACTTCCAGACAACAGCAATTTTCAAAAGGTTGTACCGGTGACATCATACAAAGATTGTACAATGTATGTCATCAAGAATGAACACAGTCTGTCCCCGGGGAAATTCGCGAAAAAATCGCAAAAAACGTGGGAAAAAACGCGGCATAATATGGCATAATTTGCGGGGAATTTGCGGTAAGTATGCGGTAAATATGCGGTGAGTATTATTGATATGCGGCAAGTTTGCAGTTGATATGAGGCAATTTTCAGTGAATATGTAGTGAAATCAATCAGTTGCAAGTCTGTGGTGTAAGCACTCGTCATATTTGAGTAAAAAGCCGCCACAATGAGACGTTCCTGACCGAACAGTGCACTGTGTGTACGTGTAGTGCAACAAAAAAGTTCAAAAAGCGCGGGAAAATCGCGGAAAACGCGGTCTTTTAAAAAATCGCAAAAAAACGAGGAAAAAACGCGGCCGCGGAATCGCAATTTTCCCCGGGGACAGCGCAGTACAGCATCATATCAATTTTCTCAAAATAAAGGATGAAAACTTTACAAATCTTTGAAAACCAATCCGTCGACGGCACTGTGCCAGGCAGGCCGATGCAAACACATATTGTATGGATATAGCTAAGAACAATCGCAACACTAGTTGATGTATCTGGACAGGATTCGGCGAGGAGAGCGTCGAAAGAACAGCTTCAGCACCTCATCTGTAGATGTGCTCCCGCGAGGTCGGGCTTTCCGCAATACATTGGTGACTTTTCAAAACCCCGGTCGAAATATTTTTTTGGGGGGGGTGCACTTGCCCCCTGTGCCCCTCGCCGAGCACGCCCCTGATGTATGTCACCTAACAACACATTATTCTCACCGTCCAGCTGCTCGGTGGATGTAGCAAGCCGATTCCAAAACTCTACCGGCTCGGATGGGGGACGGTATATGCAACCAAACGAGGTACTATCTTTCCCTTTGCCAGCTCTAGCTAAGCCACATCAACTCTAGACTGGAGTGTGAGTGGTCCAAGATGTGCTTAACCTTAACATGTTCCTTTACGAAGATGCAGATCCCGCCTCCTTTACGACATGGAGTGCAGGCGGATAGGCAAGTGCATCCATCAACGCACGGCCTGTCTCGACGTAAGAGAATTGTGCCTGGTACAGAAACCTCAGTGTCCGAGATGCTTGAGTCAAGCTACGTTTCTGTAACCGCCAGCAGATCTAGGCAGTGCTCATCTATTAGCTTAGCTATACTAACCTCCTGTGTTTGATGTCGTAGACTGCAAATGTTTATGTGGCCAACATTTAGTCGGTTGCATGGAGAGTAGAATGCTGGGGTTGGAGGATTTGGGGACGAAGTCGAAGGCGTGAACACGGGAGCATGCGGGTTCAGGGGCTGTGAATACCGGTTGGTGGCGTGTGGCATTATGTGAGTGCTGGAGCTGTGCCGTCAGCACCAAAGCGCCATTCACGAACTGCACAACCGAGCGAGTCCGGCCAACAATGCTTTGTCCTGTACGGTGGTGGCGTCCGACGCCAACACTGTGACCCTGGCAAACCCTGTTCGGAAGCGCTCCGGGGTGTACACAACACTCTGCACGATGTGTACATCCTGTGCCTGACAATGCTCTGCAATTGATTTGGCATCACAGTCGGGGTCCACGTTTCCAACGTCGAACACTTTGACTCTTGCCTTACCCGTTAGTGCACATCGGGTGGTGCTCTTTGGAAGCTAGGGTGCCAGCCAGCGAGACGATTCCTGTCGCCTGTACGGCTTGGGAGGCTGGCGTTGAGATCTTTGGGCAGCTGGGGCTGCTGCAGTATTTTTGGGCTGCAATGCTGGTTGTAGGTGCAAAGTCTCTGCATACGTGGGTCGAGGTTGTGGGGTCGACATGGTCGAGGATACGGGTTTAGTAACGCTTGGTTCAGTGGGGTCATTGTTCAAAGTTTGAATCACCATGTCGTACCTCTCAACTTTGGCATGCAGGTCGTTCCTATGTTCCGTACTTCAGTCGTCAGGCACAACACCTCTCTGGCAGAATCGATGAATTTAGCTTCTATTTCTCTCATGGCGTGTAACTCGGTCTTCAACTCTCGGACGGCATCAGTGAGTTCAGACAGAGCTGAGCACAGGCTGGCAACAACACACTCATTAGCAGCCAGGTGGCTCGTGCTAGTAGGTTCACTTATTTCGTTGTGCTCATCCAGCGATGTTCTGAGAAGAGCAACAAGAGCTGGTCTGGTGGCTTTTCGTGGGATCTCCAGTCCACGCTGCCTAATTAGGTCCTTCAGCTCCCCGTCGATCAGGACTGCAATGTCCACTTCAGCAGCGGGCTTATTAGCCATTAATAAGGACTTCTCTGAGGGCCGCAAAGTAGGCCTAGCCCAAATTTGCCGGCAATTCTTCCAGCAAAATATCGAAATTTCCCACGAAAAGAAATTGCTGGCAAATTCCGAGCAAAATATCGAATTTACAGAGGATCCGGGTGTGTTTTGGCAATTTTATTCAAATTTCTTTGGTTTCATTGGGCCAACGTAGTGCTGAAGTAGCTCGTGCAGGTTGTCAAGGGTACATAAATTTGAAATCATGCTACAAAATCTGGAATACTGACACCATTATAAGTTTTGCTTTCCTCATTAGAGTCACCATCCACTTTTACCAAAGTAGACGGTTCATTCGAAGCCATTTTTGCCACAAAGCAGGAGCAAAATGGAGCAAAATATCGGAAACGAAAGGCAATGCCAAGCAAAATATGGAAAGTGCTAGGGCAAAATTTGCCGGCAAAATATCGAAGCGCCCCGAGCAAATTTGGGCTAGGCCTACCGCAAAGCCCAGGGAACTACAAAATTAAAAAGGCCGCTTTTCGGGAGCCAAAAAAAGGTACTATCGTTTGTCATATATGTCAGGGATGTGGCCAGTGAAGTGGATCAGTTTGCCGTCCAGGTAACCCAATTCGAGGACGATATCATGCTACACGATAGCAGGGAGGACAAGGTCGTGCTGTCACACAACCTGTCCTCAGCCATTGCCCATCTCAGCAACTGGCTTCATGAGCGCAACCTAATCCTGAATAGTCGAAAGACACAAATGTTGTTTATTCCCGCCAATTGTCATGACGACAGGACATTGAATGTGCACTGTGCAGCTTCACTCCTCCAGCAAGTGACAAGCGCCAAGTACCTGGGCTTGCACATCGATGACGACCTGAAATGGAACACCATGGTCAACCATATAGCCAAGACAGTGTCGTCAAAGATTGTCATTCTCTTCCGCCACAGGCAGTGCCTCCCAATGCCATGCCGTTCAATCATGGCCAGCAATCGAGGACATCTGAGAGTTGTAATTGTTGTACTCCTCCGAGGTGTGATTTTTGGCGTGCTGGGCCAAGCACAAGGAAGCCATCTGCAAAAAAACTGCAGAAAATGGTTGTTGTTTGATCCTTTGGTGTAATCTTTGTTTCTAGTCGAAGCTAGTTGCTGTTTGGAGCAGAAACGCTGAAATTGACTACTTTCTGCATGTACTCATACATATACTCATGTACTCAGTCATGCAGTCTCACTCGTATTTTAGCTCTTTTTCTGGAATGGATGCTGCTCTGCGCCCCTTGGTGAACATTTCCTGCGCTCCTGGAGCAGCTGAAAAGGACCACTGGTATGTCTGGTTCCTGGTTTGAAAGTGGAGAGTCGACTTTTGTGCCTTGAAAAAGGAGTAGAGAGCGATAAAGGTACGTCTGTGGCTTATTTTTGAGTGCTCCTCGTACATTTTTGATCGTGATAGAAATTCTCAGACCAAAGTCAGACCAAAGTCAGCGCGATGATGGCCGTACAGTTTTCTTGTGGATTTTTTAGTTGTTTCATCTCGTATCTATGTCAGTATCGTGATGGTGAAGTGGAGAGGGTGATTTTCTTCCTCTAGGCTTCGTTCGGCCGACTGCTTCGTCCTCGTTGAAAAGTGATCCTGAAAAAAAGGTCGATTCGCAAAATTATGTTGATTTTTAATGTACGTGATGACATGCGATTGCTGGCTATGCGACTTGAGATGTATAATTTTACTCAAATTTCAATATGCATGCAACAGCTTTTCCTCTTCCCTTTCCTCTGCACAACGTGATCGTCTTGAGAAACTTCTTGAGCGAGCTGAGCGTGTTGTCTGCTCTCCTCGACGGGTGTTCCCGAGATTTTTCACAACGCAGAAGAGAACATCACAAGTATGATTTGAACTACTGCTTACTGTAAAACCCAGGAAAATCGAGAAATCCTTGACAGGCAGGGAACATGACGACTAGAAGAAGTAGGAGAAGAATATCCGGCAAAGGCTTTCCTGTTAACTGCATGTTGGGTGCCATCCGCTGCCGTGTGTGCGTGCGTGTGTGCGTGTGTTTGTGCGTGTGTTTGTGTGAGTGTGTGAGTGTGTGACGGTGTGAGTGTGAGTGTGTGTGAGTGTGTGTGTGTGTGTGTGTTTGCAGGAGGATGGGCTTAGACACTGAGCATACAAAAAAAGAGAGAGAGAGAGAGAGAGAGAGAGAGAGAGAGAGAGAGAGAGAGAGAGAGAGAGAGAGAGAGAGAGAGAGAGAGAGAGAGAGAGAGAGAGAGAGAGAGAGAGAGAGAGAGAGAGAGAGAGAGAGAGAGAGAGAGAGAGAGAGAGAGAGAGAGAGAGAGAGAGAGAGAGAGAGAGAGAGAGAGAGAGAGAGAGAGAGAGAGAGAGAGAGAGAGAGAGAGAGAGAGAGAGAGAGAGAGAGAGAGAGAGAGAGAGGGTTGGTTAGTCCAGTTTCTGCACAACAGTGAAATTTCAACACAGAGGTGGCCAATAAGAGCGAACATGGGATATCAATTGTGATCACCATGGTAACAGTCCTACCACCATTGAATACTGCCAATTTTACGTGATTTGAACAAAACACTGATAATAATATTATGGTTGCATTCGACAGCAAGGAGCACCGGTTAACTCACTGTAATTAGAACCTTCAGCCAGCTGGGTTAGTGTAAAGTGAGAAACTATCATAACTCGGATGTTGAGCCATAGCATTAAATGTAAAGAGACAGAGCAACAATGGACTCGGATGGAGAGCCAAGGCTAAATTTATAGAAAAAGGAAAAAAGGACCAAGGAACTACAAGTTACGCTATAATGTGCGCGGTCAGTGTCGTGCAATGTTATCGCATGAGCTGATCGTTTAGTAACTGGTGGTGTTAGTGGACAGTATAGCGTAACTTGTAGTTCCTTGGTCCTTTTTTATTTTCTATAAAGAGTTATAACTCCTAAGGGGCCGTCCGGGGTTGCCAATAGTTTTTGCAAAACGAAAAGTTTTCGTATTTTTCAGCACCCACCCACCTACCTTTTCTGCAGGTAAAACGAATTCCAATAAAATATTGCTGTCAATTTTCGACACCCAAAAGTAACTGGGCGTTCTCCATCTGCATTCAATAATTATTTTCAAAACGAAACTCCTTCAAGCCCACCCACCCCCAAACGAAAACTTTTCGCTTTGAAAATACTATTGTTAACCTTGGACGGCCCCCTGCAGAACTTATTGGTCGTTACCTTAACGTGAGAAACGCTCGCTAAACGCTTTTTTCGGGACCATCACGCATTTGCGGATATACTCCAATTTCAGAAATTTTCGGTGCTCAATAGTTTCGGTAGGTGGGCAGAAATTTCAGATACAGGGAAGCAGTTCCCTATTGGATTATGTGTGTTAGTATTTGTTCGGTTTATTGAAATTTTAGGTATGAAACAGATGCACCGAAACTACCGAAAATAGAAGTACACCGAAAATGTGTGAAACTACAGTAAGTCGCCGCAAACTGCTCTGCACAGTGATTGTAGACAGCGCAAAATCCAACTGAAGAGGCAAAGCCGCAAAAGATTCTTATCGCTAATAACCAGTGCAATTCTTGAAAATGCGAAATTTGCACACCGCAAACGTTTATTGGTTCTAGCACATTAGGGAGCCGGTCACATTGAGGGAACAATCCTCAGATTATAAACCGGGAATAATTTTTCCTACTTTTCATCACGGCCACACTGGATACGCACGATGAAAAAATTCTCACCCGCACGAGCTATTTTTTGTCACCATTCGCTTCTGGCAGTCTGGCAGCCAACCTCCTGGCCAGAGCTGCATCATCACAGCCTCACACACAATGGAAATTCTAGGAATAAGCTGCAGCAGCTCACTTTCACTCCACTTCATAACGCAAAAAAAAAACACAAGGAAACTCAAAGAAATCCAGTGGAAGCCGCGGATGATTATGATCTTCAGCGGAAAAGCGGGGCCTCGAGCTGATTTTCATCGAGTGGATTAAATCTCTCAAATCTCCCGCTCAGCGGCAAATATCCATAGTAGCTACGGATTTTTAAAATTTTTCCCTCAATGCAACCGGCCCTTGAAACCTCTAAAACAAAACTTCTAAAAATTCGATTATAAATTCGTTCTGTATATGTCTAGTTGGACTGGCGCAAGACGAGCGTTCCAGAGACCTTCACAACGTGCTCGCAGTGCACAGCTGGCCTCCTTATCCAGGGTCATTTGACTGGAAATATGCCCAGTGTGCGGCGACGTAACTTGTGCCATGAACCGCCACTGCACACTGAGCCCCTTGGGCATGGTCGTGTGGGGTGTTGAACAGCGCGTTGCTGATCTATGGCCCTCTTCAGCCTTCGTACAAAAACAGCCTATAAGTCACATTTACATAGACGTTTCCAAGACAACTACAAAAACAGCCTCTAAGTCACATTTAAAAAGACGTTTCCAAGACAACTACAAAACAGCCTATAAGTCACATTTACAAAGACGTTTCCAAGACAACTACAAGAACAGGGCGGGAAGTCTAAAAGGCTGCCGAATCCTTTCGGGCAGGGTGCGAACCCTTGTACAAGGCAACTTTCCTGCAGTTATCATACTTTCACCAGGCAGTCGCACAAGCGTACAGACTATGTACAATTGCCGGCTACTTTCACACATCCCCAGGCTCCTTACGCAATTGCGTGGGGTCAACGGTTATCTGTATGTATGGTGTGTAGTGTGAATGTAGGCTAGGACAAATGTATGTATGGTGTGTAGTGTGAATGTAGGCTAGGACAAATGTATGTATGGTGTGTAGTGTGAATGTAGGCTAGGACAAATGCTGCCATTTAGGTGTTATCTGATTCCATAAACAAGAGTGTGCAACGCGCGATAGGGTCTTGTCACGACTCGTTTTCAACATTACGTCATTTTCATGTAGCGAATGCTGCGGCCTGCGCGCGCAGCTACGTGAAAATGACGTAATGTTGAAAACGAGTCGTGACAGACATCCATGTGGTGTTGCACACTCTTGTTTATGGACTCTTGCGGTTATGTG